CTTTTCTAATTGCACTAGTCCTCCAGACTCTAGCAGTCTGTCAAAGGTGATCAAAGGAGGAGATAAGAGGAGACATTTTAAAAGGGAATTGCTGATCACAGAAATAGAAAAAAGCATTTTGACCAGAGATAAGAGATATTATGTCATGGGAGAATTGGTAGAGGGGGAATAATTGTCTATTTTATTATTAAAATAAAAGTTTGCAATAATAATATGTTGTTAAAAACTACTCTAATATCTCTTAATATTGTCTAATAAAAATTAAGCAGTGGCTTTCTTATAGCTTTTCAGTTGCTTTCATCAGCTCTTCAGACCTAAGGACTCTTTTCTTTTTCGTATACATTTAATTCCTTTGCTGAAGTCTCTTGAACTGATTAATTCTGAGGATATGATACCAGACTAAACGGACCAGTATTTATATTTTATTGGCTTGGAAAAACTAGACATGTTCAGAGGAAGAAAAATTGACAAAACTGGCAAAGATTAAAAGCTGTGAAGGGCAAAACATGCAACTGGGACAACTTTCAGTATTTGTGTGAATCTACCAGGAAGCCACCTACTTTGCACCAGGCTTTGTGCTGTGGGAAGTGCACCCATATATCTCAGAATCCACCCTAAGCTGTAGGATGGTGCTCTCTGTCCCCAAGTGCTTGACAAGACACAAACACAAACATGTATTTGCGACAAAAGCCGCTAACATTCTAGGAGGTGTCAAGAAATGACTGACAGCTGCAGTACAGACAACAAGCACAGGTCAAAACAAAACCAACATTTTCAAAGTACTGCCAGATATCTTAATCTATAGTCGAGCAACTTAATTACTCAACCACAGACTTCATTAAAGGCATAACAGTTGCTATAGTTCTCTAATTCTGAAAATAAAAGAGGTCTCATTTTGTTGCCTGAATGCAAGTGAAGAACCAAGCTTTTCCAAAGTACACGGGGATTTTTAGTAGGCCAACTTCAGACATGTCTGACAGTCCAGCTCTGAAGAAATGCCAGATAAGAACTCACCCCTATTGACAACATGTCTCCTCTGGTTGGTAATTCAAAATTTTGAGAATTTTGGTTTGGATTCCTGATTATAAATATAATATTTTAAAGTACAGGCTCACCATATACTCAATATTTAGATTTCAGAGTAGATTCTCACTATTCTTTCAATCCTTCAATATCAGCAGTGCTGGAGGGAAAGTACATTATGCCACCAAATGACTGTATGGATTTGAACCTAGCTTTACCAAAAAAAAATCAATAAGAACAGAATTCACAATAACAAATCCTTTCAGTCGCTTATTTGATAAAGATTAATTCTTCTAAAAAACACAATTGCACAACAGAATTATGAAATACATCAACATTTCTCTTCTTTTATTGCCTTTTACTTTGGGGGGGTTTGGCAGACTTCTTTGTAAACATGCATCCCTTATCCAATTTCTGATCTCAGTCAATAAAAAGTAACATTTAAAATACAACAACCTGAAATGTAAGACAGAGCTGCATATGGACCCTTTCCTTATCCAGAGTTAGAAATATGATTTATTTTTGGAGGGCAGTATGAATGAATAGATGAATAGGCAGAAAGAGAGGCAGATGCATAAATAATTTTAAAACATGACTAATGTTCTAAACCATTAAATGAAGATTTTATCATTTTATCATATCTCTTTCCATTCAGTTGCATGATTCTCCCATTAGGAGGAACTTCTCTTCAGAACTCCTCAGTGTCTTTCCCAAGAGAGTTTCACCACTGTGAAAGAACTGACAGACCAGTTACAAAATAGTGGATTTTCCTTAATTAATACTGTCTGGTTAGCAATTAAAGTGAATATCACAACAAAAACATTTCTGGAGTTTGCAGACATTAATGATTTAATAACCATTGTGATATGTATAGCCATTTTCATGTGTGTTTACATAACAGAAACACCAAAGCTTGTTGAACTGGAAGATGAAGGCAGTAAGCCAAAGGGAAAGGGTGAATTGACAAACTCTTCACAGTACTCATATACCCCATAAATGCTAACTAATCACAGGATTATTGATATGGAATACTTCACACTGGCAAAGCAATTGAAGCTTTTATCTTAGAACCATAAAAACATTAAAATTTTCATCTTAGAAAAAGAAAATTTTTACCACAGACATTTAGGCAATTCTGAATATTAATGGGTCTTATTTGAATTTTGTACAAGATCAAAAGGATGGAACCACTGAAAATTTGTTTTCAAATATTCTGAAAGGTTTCATCTGACAATTTTTACAGCTTTCTTCTGAAAAGTAGTAGTACGATCTATGGCTATGGAGGCTTCTAACCGCACTATCATTTCAATGAAAGAAGAATTAGGATTGTAATTTAATTTTTTTCAAGAGAAACAGAAAAAATATAAAACATCTTCTCTTTAGGGGACAATGATGACTAGGGCTAGATGGCAGAATATTGGATTTGGCATTGTAGGCATTCCATCAGAGTCCCATGAAGCAAAATTATCTTTACACAGTCATCACTTGGGATACTGGAAACAAATCGTTGAATGCTTTTCTCCAGAATCACATAAACCATAGACCTACCCAGCAGTGCTTTTCTGAGGACAACTGATTTTCCTATAATTGAGCTACCATGATCCTTAGAACACACAGCAACACAAATGGGTGCTGTCTCAAAACCAATTTTTTTTCCTTTATAGTTACAAATAAATGCACCTTTTCGGTTCGTTCCTCCATTTGCTCCATGATTAGAGCAAATTAAGAGTTTATCCAATCCTTAGCCTTTGCTTAAAGCAGGAAATGTGAAATGGGAATATGGCCTTTTAGCCTCACAGTTACTTTTGACATCTTCCCTGATAACTGGAAGATGTTTTCATTTTTTTTTCTCTTTTGGAGGAATGTAGGATATGTCTTTATCACAGTAAAAAAACATAATTTTCATGGAACTACAGGAAATTCATATAAATATCTTCGGGGAGTTTGGTTTTATTTTCCCTGGGATATTCAAGAATCTCCTCCACAGTATCGCAAAACAATGCTTTGAACATTCTCTTTGTTTATAGGTACTTTGCTTTACCAATTACAGGCTTCATATGCATATACACTGTAAACATGCAAAAACGGAGCTGTGCCAAACCTAGGTGCAAAGCCATACTGTGCCTGCTTGCCCCGTTACAAGTAATCTTGTTTTCCTTTATTTCCCAAGAAGTGATTTATCCTGATCTGACTTGGAACTGTCACTATTTGTTGTATCCCTTTTATACAGAAAACTTTCCCAAAAACCTGAAACAAGCTGATCCTTTATGTTGTCAGTGAACATTTAGAACATGGAGCATCTTTCCAACTGTTCTCTCACTGCAGCTGCTCTACTGGTGGTAGACCAGCTTGCTGCTACTGCAAGCCAGGGGCTGTTGGAGCTGCCAGGAATTGCTCACGGCACAGCAGGTGAACTATGCCTGTATGTACCTGCAGTGCTTTGTAATGGTTGTTGTAAACCCTCAGGTGTATACAGTTGAGAAAGTGTCTATTGGCAGAGGGCAAACACAACTAACAAATATTTCGTTCAGCAAGAAGATGGAGTTCTTGCCCAATCCTCTTAACATTCATTGAAGTAGCCCTTCAGAAAAAGGATTTTTTTATTCCATTCCTGTGAGAAACCACATATACAAGTTCATCACATCCCAAAGCAAACTTAAAGCCCATTCTATTTGACTGCAGCCATTTTTAGCTACACAAGGGAAAACATGATTTCATAATGCCATGCCATCACTTATTCACTCTCTCTTAGCAACCTCAGCTCATGAAGCAATTTAGGTCACACAGATGACTGCACTCAATCTCTCTACCAGGAAATCTGATGTTTAAGAAGAACTCGCCATTAATCATGCTATATAATGTTCAGGTATGTGCATGTTACAGTGCAGTCAGTGCCATGCACAAGCCTGTACATACTAACCATGGTTACAGTGTTTTCAGTGCAGTGCATGAATGTGTTGCATGCTAACCATGGTTAATTTAAAGGAGTCATGTAAAATAATTAAGAAATAAAACACAAGGTATTTCAAGGAGATCAGTGAATTTTCTTTGAGTTTTGTAAGGTCTAGGAGCAATGACAGAGCCTTGAACAACACATGGAGTGCAAAACTATTAATAAATTATACTGTAATCATTTTTAATATATTATACAAATGTGCATAGATACACATTAAAATTATTACCATGGTTATACCGCCATTCTGACCTCTCAGCTTAGCTCCCATGAATGGCACTGGAGTGCCTCACACAGACATCCCATACTACTGGGCCACTAGGTTGGGTGCACATTGCACTTAGGTCCTGATGCAGGATGGTGCATGAGAGGCTGGGCATGACCAGGCAATGTGCAATTGCGGCCCAGAAAGCCAAACATGTCCAGGTCTGCAGCAAAAGCAGCATGGGCAGCAGGTCGAGGGAAGTGATTCTGCTCCTCTACTCTGCCCTGATGAGACCCCACCTGGAGTGCCACATACAGCTCTGGGGTCCCTAGCACAGGAGGGACATTAACCTATTGGAGCGAGTCCAGAGGAGGCCATCAAGATGATTAGAGGGATGGAGCACCTCTACCATGAGGAAAGGCTGAAAGAACTGGCATTGTTCAGCCTGAAGAAAAGACTTTGGGGTGACCTAATTGCAACTTTCCAGCACTTTTCTGGAGCCTGCAAGAAAGATGGAGAGGGACTTTTTACAGGGGCATGTAGAGACTGGACAAGGGAGAATGGCTTCAAACTGAGAGTAGGTTTAGATTAGATATTAAAAATAAAAAATATTCTTTACTGTGAGGGTGGTGAGGCACTGGCACAAGTTGCCCAAAAAAGCTATGGATGCCCCATCTTTAGAAGTGTTCAAGGCCAGACTGGATGAAGCTCTGAGTAACCTGGTCTGGTCAAAAGCATCCCTTCCCACAGCAGGGGTGTTGGAATTAGATGATGTTTAAGGTCCCTTCTAACTCAAGTCGTTCTATGACTCTATGAACCTATGATGTATCTGTGAGTCTGCAAGAAACACATGTCACCCAGCTCAGCAAGGAATAAAAGCTTTTTCCTTCACACAACTCAAAGCCTGAGGACAGGAAAGACCATCTTCCACTACCGCTCCAGTGACACATCAGGCTGCAGAGCCAGAGCACAGAAGACATGCCTCAGAGGGTAAGTGATTCAGCAGGGCATGTGTGGCGGTGACTGAGTGCTTCAATGAGGTGTGAAAAACTAGTGAGAACTAGTTCCCAAATGAAGCCCACATTTCAGCAGGATTGCTTCACCAAGCATCGGATGCTTATGTACAGTTCAGAAACGTGGGTTAGGCAAACTGTATGCAGTCAGGAATTAATTTCCACATAGGCAGGTGTTTTCAATGAAAAGCAATATTAGGCAAAGTCTGAAAAGTATGCCTATTCTGCTGTTATAGCATAAGATGAGGAAATCAAGTATGAAGAGAAGATAAAAAAGTAAAAAACTGGTTGACAGTTGGGAAAAGTTTCTTGGAAGAAGTGGAAACAGGAAAAAGGAATGAGTGTCAAGACCAGGCAGAAGTACTACTGTTAACAGTTTTTAACATGGCGTATTCTATCTTGAACTGTGATGGAAGCATGGTAACTTTTGTGATAGATACCCATATAGTGTTGGTCATACTTGTAATGGACCATTCATTGTCCACTTCTTACAGCATTCAGTTTGGAAAGCCTCTCCCATGTCCTCAGAGAGTTCTTAGTCACAGAGCATCATGCATATGCTCTGGACTGGGCAGTGAACCAGATGCAAATCTGCATCCTGTTGCTCAGCCAGTCCCAGAACCCAGCATGACTATTTGTGGAGTGTGGCCTTTTGCATCTTACAGTTCAGCAGCCTTCCACTTTTTCTCCAGCAGGTGCTCATCCAGTGCTCACACATAGATCTACATGAAATGACCGAGTTGATCCCACAAATGGAAGCCTCCAGAACTTCAGATGCGATTTCTCATGGTTGCTGACACAACCACTGTAAAGCTCCTGGGTTATCAGGTTTGTCTGCTCCTGTAGCTAAAGCTACTCAAGCAGATGGCTTTGTCTCGCCCTTTCTCAGCCTTGCAAGTTCCTGCTACATGGAAACAGTTTGTGAAACAAGCACCTGGGGCATGGGGACACTGCCAGAACAGCCTTGCTGGGGGTGCTTTTCGGGGAAAGGTTTCATCCTGCTCACAAACTATGCAAGATCATTTTACACAGCTGTTCTGGATTCTTGAACCAAGAGCTGATGCAGGGAATGAGGAATGTAGAGGAATCCACCCTGCATCTGCCATGCCTTCCTATCTGTGACCAGTTCCTATAAGCCATGCCACATCATCCATTCCTCGGCTTTGCCAGCAGAGACCCAACTGTCTTCAACCATTGAGGACTATGCAGTTCAGAGACAAGAATCAATGAGGAGACGTGTTCTGGTGGACCTCAGGCATACAAAGAGAAAAAACTGCAAAGGAGTGTGAAGATCAAGGGACAGTTGACTTCAGAAACCATGAGCTGGTGGAGTTCAGGATTCTGAGAGGAGGGAGAAAGGCAAAAAGCAGGATCACAACCCTGGTCTCCAAGAGAGCAGAGTTTGGGCTGTTCAGAGAGTTATTTAGAAGATTTGTATGGGATACAGTCCTCGAAGGACTTGAAAGTTTTCTTTTTAAAGGTCATCTTTTCTGAGCCCAAGGATGGTCCATCCTCATAAACAGGTAAGGTGGCTGCACGACTGCCACTCCTTTCTAAACTCAAACATAAAAAGGGAGCAAACAGGAGGTAGAAGCTGGGACAGGTAACCCAGGAGAAATACAGGTACCCTGCCTGAACATGCAGGGATAAGCTTAGGAAAGGTAGAGCCCAACTAGAGTTAAATCTGGTGTGGAACATGCTGGGCAACAAGTTCTTTGACAGGTATATCAGCAACAGAAGGAAGACTGGGAAAAATGGGTGCCTGCTGCTGGATGGGGCAGGGGACCTCGTGACAAAGGACAAGGTAGTCAATGGGCAGAGAGACTGAATGCCTTCTTCAGTTTGATCTTCACTGGTCTTGTCCTTCATCAATCCCAGGGCCCTGAGACCAGTGGAAAAGACTGGAACAAAAAAGACTGCCTTGCTGGAGGAGGAGGATCACTTAGGGAACCTGTAAACACATTGGGTGAACACAAGTTGGATGCACCCATCGGTACTGAGGGAGCTGACCAATGTCACTGGAAGGCTACTTCCCATTATCTTTCAAAAGTCATGGCAACTGGCTAAGGTTCATGAGGACTGGTAGAGAGCAAGTGCCACTGTCTTCGAGGAGGGTGAGAGAGGATATGGAGAACTTCAGCCCAGGCAGTCTCATCTCAATCACAGGGAAGGTGACGGAGCATATAATCCCGAAAAACCTTTCTAAACACAAGAAGGACCAGAAAGTAGCTGGGAGTAGTCAGCCAGGATTTGCAAAGGGGAAAAAATGCTTGACCTGATAGCATTCTACAATGAAACTGGGGAACGGTGGATATTTATCTTGACTTTAGCAGGGCTTTTCACACTGCATCTCATAACATCATTAATGACCTAGGTGTTGGGACAGAGGGAAGGCTCAGCAAGACTGCAGATGATATAAGGTTGGAATGAGTGGCTGATACACCAGAGAGTCATGTGGCCATTCTGAGAGACATGACCAGACCAGGCTGAAGAAAGGGGCTGGCAGGAGTCTTATGCAGTTCACTAAGGGAAAGTACAAAATCTTTCACTTGGGCAGGAAAAGCCCCATGCACCAATAGCCTCTGGGAGCCAACCAGCTGAGAAGCAGATCTGCAGAGAAGGACAGTAGGGGACCCTGGTGGACAATGAATGACCTGAGAATGACCAGTGAGTAACTGTAGCAAATAAGGTCAAGAACCTCCTAAGCTGCATTAAAAGTGGCCAGCAGATCAAAGGATGTGACCCTGCCCTCTGCTCCACTTAAAATTGTGCATAAACAACCAACTTAGGTGTAAAGAATTGGGGGGGTCAGACCGGAGACCTCCAAAACTCATCTATTTTGTCATTCTAGAATAACAGAATGAGTAAGAAAGCACACTTTTTAGTCTGTCCACATGGAGTGGAAGAAATCGGCATTCCAGTTTGCATGGCAGCATCTATCCTATCAGCTCATCCATTGATTTTAACATAAAGCTCAGAAGAACGTGCTTGGCCCATAGTTTTCAGTGAAATGACACAGTCACAGCTCTCTCAGGCCTTTTCACTGCTGTAATGGAAATGACACCACTGAAGTGGATGTGACTATAAAATAACTAATTATGTGCTGCTTTACAGAGAGGAAAAGAAAGCAGTTTTTTCAGAACTAACGTCAAAGAAAAATGTGATGATAAGTTTGAAAATACTTCTGGAAAGAAATATGATTGAAGAGAATGCCAAAGCATGGCTAAAAATGCTTAATTAGATATGTTCTGTCCCATTTTGTGGTATTTATTACCTTTCTCATCCAGTGTATTAATATAGAGTCTGAAGGTCAGACTTCAAAGTCTTGCTTTAGGTTCTTTCATTGCTCAAAATGGCCTGGCCTCAATACCCTCTGCCAAATTCCTTCCTTCAGAGGGTCTATCAAACATTTATGAAATTTATATTTGGCCTGTGATTTTTCTTTTCTAAAGCTGAGGGACATATGAAACTCATCCTATTTTAATTAGTACTTTAAATTGGTCATTATCATATCTGAAATATCTGAATGAGATTCTTGTAGCTGGCACGTCATCTCAGAGGGTAGTGTGTTCAGATGCTTTACATAACATGGTTACAATGCAAGAGGGAGCTCTATAATTTTCCCCAAACTTGTGCAATGCAGAAGGATGCATACTGGATGAGAATTCCGTGGGGAGGCCCAGTGCAAACAAGTGCCTGTCATGTCCATGCATTTCAAGGACATTTTTGTTTCTTCACTAAATATAGAGGGCATCAACAAAAGAGGCTGAGGCTTGGACTCATGCCTCACATCAGAGGCTGAGACAAACCTTCACTGCCTTCTTCTGCAGTCACTGGGGAAAGAGTAGCAGTGTTTCCCCAAGCCTCTACATGAGACATAGCACATTGCAAAAGTGACTTCATCTTGCCAGTGAAGAAACCCTGAAGGAAACGGGCCTGACAGCCTTGTCATGTTCTGCCTGCGTACATACATGTGGTTTTCCTCCACTACTTTTGGTCTTTTCATGGTGTTTAGTCTTTCTTACCTTCCTGCTTTGGATAGAGAAGTAACAATCAGTGCCAGCCTCTACTGAGGGTCAGATTGCTTTTCAAAGCCCTTGTAAAACCACCAGGCAGTAAGCAAGCCACATCAACTATGCTGCCTTCCCACCATACCCTGTGATATCTTTTGGGGGAGCTTATCCCAGCACTCTTATTTTTACCTATGTTGGATTCCCAGCTATGCTGCCAAAAAGGGTTGAAAATGAACAGGGAGAGTTTTGGTGCAGACAAGCTTCCACAACTTGGCTCCTGCTTGCTCATTTGAGTAAACAAACAGTGTGTGATCCCCTAATGATCTTAGTATATTCTGCAAAGAACAAGTATTTTTTACTGAAGTTTATTTATCTCATGTTTATTTCTCTCCAATATGAAATGTTGCTGTATGCTGCATGCAGAGGAGAGTAAATAATCTGCCCAGCACGGTCCCCTGCAGCCCTCTGACAAAAGGAAATGTGAGCAGAGGTGCACCTTGACCAGCAGGAGTTTTTAACTGTGTTTGCAGAAGCTCAGGTTGCAGCCTGTGTAAGAGCTTTTCTTGTGTAGTAGATCAAGCATCAGTGACTGCTGTTCACTGGTGCATGTGGAATTAATGAGAGTGACAGGTTAAAAAAAAACAAAACAAAACAACAGAAAGAGAAAACACATGGGGCAGAGCAAGGAACAAGGGCTGGTTGATGGTACCACTCAGCTGCAAACATCAGAGCAGGGGAGAGGAGGGAGAGCTACTCATCCCAGTTAATCCAGCCTGCTGCAGATTCAAAGGGCCTTTGCTTTCCTTTAACTCCAGTTCCCAGAACAGTGAAACAAGGAAGAAAAACAAATAGAAGGGACTTGGAAGTGGGCAAGGCAAATGAAATACAGTTACGGCAGAGTGAGCAAGGAGAGGAAACTGCAAAACATGTTTTCATGCAAAACTGGTGGTTAGATTTCCAACTC